CGCCCTTAAGTGAAAAAATCCAAAAAAAAAAAAAAAAAAAAAAAAAGAGAATCAGGGTGAACTCCATTAATATGATTCTGTCAGGAAGGCTTCAAGACTTGGAAGGCTATACCTTTACCAACAGTAACTGAACTCTTAGCATATATAAGGGACACAGAGATGAAGGCCCAACAGACTCCATTATCAGGGAGTGACAGACCCATTTTAATTTTCTTTCAATAGCAAGAAACAGGATAAGGAATATGGGCAAATTGTAAGACAGTGCCTTTCAGCTGCATGAAAAAGGTTTAAGTTATGTATGAGAGATATTTTCTAATTAGAGGGCTGTGAGTTTGTCCGATGAGATGAAAATTTTGAAGAATGGTATAGAATGTCACCTTGCTGGTATAATTTAGGCTTTGTGCTGTCCAATGGCAGACTGATGGAGTGGAATAACATCCCAAATCCTCCCTGATTCTGACTTTGTCATCCTCTAGGACAAAAGCAGGGACACAGAGGAGGGTGCTTTGTGAGAAGTCACACATTGTATATTCCTTATTTGTGGAGGATGATCTGTCCCATGTGGCAAGCTCCAATGTGGGTCTTCTTTAAAAAAAAAAAAAAAAAGAAATTTTTGCTATAGGGTACGTGCACTCTCTGGAGAGACAGAAACTAAGACGTTACCCTGCAGCGGGGATGGCCACGTCACAATCCCTTCTCCTCATTCTCCTCTCGGGATTTTGGGCACACATGTATGTGCACCTGGCAAGAGTTTAAGCCACAGGATCCAGGACTGGAACCACGGTCCACTACATGGGAGTCCAGCAATGTAACCATTATGCCACCATCTGCTGGTCCCCATGTGTTGTGTTCTCATTTGGCTGGTCTTTAAACATTCTTGGCAAAATCCACAAGATACTATTCATATTTATTTTTCTGGGAGTCAAGTGTGCTAAGTAAAATCCTCTCCAGATTTGACTGGATCAAATGGATCAAACCATGGCTAGAATGCCCAACTGCTAATAAAATGTTAATAATTCTGCAGATATGCCAAAGGCTACCCAAAAATTCTAGTTGTCTTCTAATTGAAGATAACTGATAGCCACATTTACAATTCATTTACAAGTAGCTTTTGGAGTCAAATGATGTTTAGTGTAAAATTTAACTTTGGGAGGAGGGTGTTAGATTTCATTGAATGACCAAAGACCAGACACTGTTTTGAAAAAGAAACTCCCTCCTTTTAATTGTGAGAAGTCTAAAGATTTTGGAGACAAAAATACACATGCAGGCACACATATACCCACATGCAAGTATGCACACAGGTACACACACTTAGGCACACATAGAGAAACATGCAAGCGCACACATGCAAGCACACACAAACATACATTTCCTCACTCCCTCAAAAGAACCAGAATTGTAAGAAGTGCAGAAATTGATTTTTAAAGTCACCAACATCTGGTAGAGATGTTAGCTTTTTAGTCATGCCTCATGTTCACTGTTACCAATTTTCACCTTGAATGCACTGTGTGTCTACAACGTTGGTCTAAAATGGTAATGTACTGTCTTTAAAATTAAGCTCAGGGACCAGCAGGTGGTGTCGCTGGACTCCCACATAGTCGACCTTCAGTTTGAGACCCAGACCCAGAGGCTTGAAACTCACGCCTGGTGCATGTGCATGCGTGCCTAAAATCCCAAGAGGAGGATGAAGGAGAAGAGACTGCAGTATGGCCATCCCCTCTGGGGGTGGTGATTTCTCACTTTCTGTCTCTCTGGCAAGCGCATGTGACCTATAGCAAAAATCTCTCTAAAAAAAGAAAAAATTAAAAAATAAAATCAAACTCAAATCTGTAGCCACACAAGTTGAGGCAGGAGGTACATGGAAGAGAATTCAGCCAGCCCATGCCCTCATTATGTCTGCGTTTGCCCTCTCCAACAGAGCTACTCTGATATTCCTACGATAATCAGCCCTTTGGCATTAAAGAAAGTCTTTGATATACAATCTGATCTTTCTTTCTTCAGTGACATCTTGGGACTATTAACATTCCCTTTATTCTCTCTGCCATTTGTAGTGAGGAGTGACATGGGTGGGGGGGGGTTGCAGCAAAGTGAAGGGGGCAAGAAGGGGAAGCTGGTCTCTTTGTTTCATTCAGCTTCCTTCAGATAGTGCTTCATGTTTTTTTCACTTCTCTCTGTGCGGTCTTCCAATATAGTGGCCTGGCTTGCTTCCTGCAATCCTGTGCTTAGGGGAGCTAACATATAGCAACCAATCCCCCACTAGCCGCACGGTGGGCTTCACTGGATATAGTCATGGGAACGTCTTTCCCTGGAGTATCAAGTCAGCTGGTGGGATTCTCTTTGCACTGGGAGATACACTAAACTTTAGAAAACATGTAACCTAGGTACCGGTTTGATAGTAGCGCTAGAATTAAATGGCTCTGGTTTCCACCAAGTCTCCATAGAGGTCTCAGCTTAGCAGAAGTTAGTCCTCCCTTCCTGAGGCTGGGAGGAGGATCTTGTTCCCTCTGAAAGCTAGGTGACTATGGGGCCACCCCAAGAGGTGTGGCCTCCAGATCTCCCTGATGACCAAGTAGAGGTGATAACACAAGAGGTGGTCAATGAGCAACTGGCCTGTATGCTCCTGCTGGGGCCTCACCTGTGCTCATACCCTGCAGCCCCCAGGAGAAGCCCACAGCTGCACACGTGGCCGTGTAACTCCCAGATACAGTGGACATGGTGTCAGGTTCATAATGTCCTCTTATCGAGGAACAATGAGAGCAGAAATGTTTCCTGACATAGACTTCTTTTGGGGCTTCATAAGACGATGCAACTGCTATGTGATTGGGGGGAAGTAGAAAACCCAGGGGTGACGTTCTCTCCCTGCTTTGGGGGTGATGCAGAAAGACAGACATTACGATGCTGTAGGCTGTGCTGTGCTTACCGGGATCCCTAGGGCTTTAAGAATGTTCATCTTGCACATGGGGCAGGTGCGATGGTCTAGAAGCCAGGGGTCAACACAGGACTTGTGGAAAAGATGCCTGCAATGAGAACCATACATCTTAGAGCGGCGGTAACTGCAGAGACTATCTAGTCCACCACAGCCCAGCGACTGGTCTACGGTCATTCAGTTGCTCAGTGCCAGGGCCAAGACCAAAACCTTCACCACTTAACTCCTGGGCCACGTGTTTCCTGTTACACCCTGTGGTGACATGGTCAAAGTATTTCTAGATCAGAAATGTCCTATGTGACTTGCAGCCACGTCTTCCAAGTCTCAGAATATGTACACAATGTAGTAACAAAGGTTTCTCTTTCTCAATGAAAGAATTCTTAATGGAAAGAATGCAAGTGGGGGAACATGGACAGACCTTGCAGGCTGTCTAGAAAGATGCTACTTTTTAAAAAATCCAAAAAACTTCTTCTACAGTCAGAAGACAACAGTAAAGTAAAAGGCTGATTCTCGTTTGTATTTGGGGTCTAATGCCAAAGGGCAGAAGAGCTCCTAGAAGTATGTAGTAATTCAAATCACATTTTAAGTTGTCATGCCTTCTATTGTTAAGTCAGAAGCCAGAGTGATGGGCTCCACAGTTTCCCAGCGGGTAACCATGCCTGTAAGAGTGATGTTCTCAGCCACCATCACCGTTCTCCTGAGCCAGCTGTTAAGAGCCTTCATCCGAGTGGCAGAAGGGCGGAGTTTAGTAGGTACAGGTGGGCTTCCTAACCAAACTCCCCCTTCCACTCAGGCTCTAAAGAACCCCCTCAGAGTTATCAGGAGCTGCTTGAGTCAGTAGCTTTTCATCTTTCTCCCAAGGTACCAGCCCATAGACAGGAATACTCAGAATTTTCCACCTGGGGCAAGAAGAGAGAGACTTCTTTTCCTGTTGAGCATGAGGTTTGCTCCATCCATGCCTCCTCCCCCACCTTCCTTCTAATGAGAAGTATTCTTGAATATTCTAACCTATTCTCTCACTTTCACCTTCTTTGTTCTAACAGTCCCTAGAACCTCACTGGCTTCATGTTCCAGAGCTTTGAGCTCAAATGCTTAAAAACTACCCCTCCCCTAAATTGGAGAAGAGTCCAGGAAGTGCCACCTTTTAAACTGAAGTTAAGAAGAACTCACATGTCAAGGATGGAATTAGCTGTAGAGAGGATATGATCAGATTTGGGGCTGGGGAGTAGAAGAAGGGCAGCAGGATGTGTCGTTACAGTTCCAGAACGCTGTCTAGTCTGCCCCCGGCTTCACTGTGTGGGAAGTGTGTACTGCTTGCATTCATTCTTTGATGATCACATTCATTGAGCAAGCAGTATATATTAAGAATTGTCTCAGAGATGAGAATCATCATGGTGGTGACATGGGCCCTACCCCGTTGGAGCATACACTACTTAGTGACAACACTGCTCAGTACCATGCTAGGAGAATAGGATGTTTTGAGGGCTTATAACAGAGAGATTTCTCCCTGTTTGGGTACTCTGGGAAGAGCTCCCTTATTAAGTGACAAAGCTGAGACCTAGGGCTCACATTGTCCCCATGAAGAAGGTGGTGCAAAAGGGTATTCTAAGCTCATGCACAAGCCTTGAGCTGAGCATCTGGAAGGCACCATTCCCAGTGCGGTCAAGTGAGGGACAGGCAACAGAGAAGAGGTTGTCTGGCACCCAAGCTGGATGAAGCTACCCTCTGTACCCTCCAGAAGCAGTATCACCCCTCCCGTGTTCAACTTCTATTCAGCAGATAAGCTCCTAACCTGAACTCACTAACCCACTGAGAAAATTCAACCTTCTGGTCCCTCTGACCATTCCTGGGGGGCAGGATGACATGGGGCTAATCATTAGCTGTTTTCATACTGACATATGTTACTTAATATCCTCAAGTCTCAGTTGCTCATCTGTAAAATGGAGAAGGATCCACTCAAGCAGAGCAGCCTTTACCTGAGTCTCCCAATCCATAGACACTGGCAGTTATTCTCCAACACTCTAATTCTCTCCATGCTCTGGTCACTCGTGCATCTCCTCTGTAACGGTGGGTTTTTATGTCACAATAGCAAGACAATAGTACCTAGTTATTCAACCAAACCCAAGTCTGTGTGTTGCTATGAAGGTATTTTGTAGATGTGGTTAATATCTATAATTGGTTGGCTTTACATGAAGGAGATCATGCTCAATGATCTGGGTAGGCCTTATCTAATCGTTTCAAAGACTTAAAGAGCAAACTTGAGGTTTCCCTTAGAAGAAATTCTGCCTAAGCTTCTACCCAGGAGTCTCTAGTCTGTAAGGTCTGCTACTCTATGGATTTCAGATTGACCAGTCCCTATAATCATGTAAATCAAGACTAGTAGGTAGCATAGTAGTTAAGACCCTGGACTCCCACATAGCCAACTGTGATTTGAGTACCAGACACAGAGACTTGAAAATCACACCAAGTGTGTGTGGGTATGTGCCCAGAATCCCAAGGACAATGGCGGGGAAGGGACTGCAGCATGCCCATCCCCCTTGGGGGTGATTTCTCTTTCCTACTCTCTGCCTGTCTCTCTCTGGCAAGCACAAGTACCCTATGGGAAATAAAATCTTTTAAAAAAAGAAAACAACCCATGTCAACCAATTCCTTGAAAAATCTCTTTCTATGTCTGTATCTATGTATCTTTGACTGGTTCTATTTTTCTGGAGAACCATGACTGCTACATTCTCCAATTGTAATAAGCTTTAGCTCTATGAGAGCAAAACCCCTGTCTGCTTGATTTGCACAAGTCACGCTCAGGAAACATTTGCCGCATGAACAGATATTTATTGATTCTGGGCCCAGCGCTCCTCCCTGCCGACACACAGTCAGCAAGTCCCACACACTCGCTCTTCCTAAATCTTTCATGTTCATTGCTTTCCTTTTCTCAGTGCTGCCCCTTCATTCATCACCTCATTATCTTTTCTCTGTGTTTCTGCAGTAGCTTCCAAACTGTTCTCTATGTGGCCAGTCTTTGCGTGTTCCCTTCATCCCACTCATCGTTGCCAGATTTATCTTCCTGAAATATAGCACAAGTGACGTCACCCCCTTGTTCCACGCTGTTCTGTACTTGGAGCAGGGTACAAAGATGAATAAGACCAGCAGCGCTCATGAACTAAACATACAGGCCACATTCCTATATCCATGGCTTTCTGGCTTTTCCATTTTAGACAAGTTGCCTTCAAGACTCATCTGTGAAATTTGATCTTATGAGTACGGAGTTTGTGAGTAAATGAGTCAGTGTGTATGTGAGAAAGAGAGAGAGAAAGAGAAGGAAATGGATAAATACCCACAAAGCTTGAAGCGTAAGTCCTGTCACTCCCTGGCACTTAATTGTAAATGAATATTAATCTCACTCATACTGCTATACATCTTGTTTCTGGATAAAATGTGATTACTATGATGTTTTTTCCTAATCTAGAAAGAAGCTAACTATAAATTTTTAAAAAATAATCAAAGGGAGGGACCGTCAGTTAGTGGAATGGCTGTCACTGAACTCCCATGTAGTTGACCGTGGTTCGAGTCCCGGACCCGGTGGCTTAAACTCACACTGGGCGTGTGTGCGTGCGTGCCCAAGATCCTGAGAGGAGAATGGGGGAGAAGGGACTGTGGCATGGCCATACCCCCTGGGGGGTGATTTCTCACTTTCTGTCTCTCTGTCTCTGTCTTCTGGCAAGCACACGCACCCTATAGCTAAAAATTTCTCCAAAAATTAATAATCATCAAAGGGAGAATAAGTACAAAAAAGAAAAAGTGCTGAAATTGACACACAGGGTGGTCACACTTATCGTCAACTAAAATTCATGTATTTCTAGCCCCATCTTTCTTTCTCTCTGTCTCTCTCCCTCTCTCTCTCTCTCTTTCTCTAAGAGAGAGATTTCTGCTATAGAGTGTGTGTGCTCTCCAGAGAGACAAAGAGAAAGTTAGAAATCACCTCACAGGAGGGATGGCCATGTCACCATGGTCCCTTCTCTTCCATTTTCTGCTTGGGATTTTGGACATGCATGCCCATGTGCCCAGCATGATTTTCAAGCCAACAGTTCTGGGACTTGAACTATGATCAGCCATGTAGGATTTCATCACCTTGACCACTATGCTACCTGCTGGCCCTCCAGTACCATATTTCTTATGTTGAATGTCAGATTTGAAAACTATATTCTTACAATTGGAATCATAGAACATTCTTTCCTCTCCCAAATTAAAAAAAAAAATAGAGGTCACTAGACTAAATAAATAAAGGAATAGAGAAAGAATCTGGAATTTAGTGAAACACACCAAGTTGGTAAACATCTCTAAGGCCAAATCGGTCTTCACTCCTTTCCCCTGCACGATTCATAGCAGAGCACTACCCTTCCCACAGTTCAACACATGCTCCTCGAGAAAGCACACACAGGGGAGCCAGGCATCACAATGCCCTTTCTGTTAACAGTCCTGACACACTGGAAATATAAGAGGCTTGAGCCCAACTATTGCCCTTCCTTGATCACAAAAGGGAAACAAACATTTTAGACAGAAGCATTCTGGCTCCCCATAGAAGTGCTGGATATCTTCTAAGATATCCTCCTCCCTCGGAGAATATGGTCAGCTGCAGAACGATGCTGAGGTGAGGATGAGTAAGTTAGTTCTCATATACTTTTAGCACGATGACAGACCAACCTAATTTCCCCACTGACTGACACTTGTTTTCTGTTGTTTTCTTCCTATGTGTGAGATTTTCTCCACTTAAAGGACATGTCCCACACCTGGAGAAAGAGCCATTCTGTCTTTCCTATCTTGTTCACTTCTATATGCTGTGTTAGATGGCACCACTCAACGGTTGAGGCTAGGGTCCCATGACTTTCCTTTTGGCTCAATGGGAGCTATTTCATTCCCCATTGAAATGGTTATTAAGGAATGTGAGTCATTTACATGTCTAAAAATTCAACACTCTGAGGCAACTTACCTATTTTAAAAAAAAATAATAAAATCCAGTGCTTCTATGGGTAAGCTAAAATGTTCTACAGAGCTTCCATATATCATATTTTCAAAGTTGCCAATGAAGGAAGACTG